TTTTTTCTTCACACAGACCATGTTTGATAACCATTCTGGGAACTGCACCTCCCGGATGGTATTGGCGTCCAGGAGTTTATCGACTTCCTTGTTCACCGCCCGGGCGTGATGTGGCGCCATGCACTGTGGCTTCTGTTTTATTGGCTTGCGTGCCGAGTCAACATGTAGCTTATGCGTGATTACTTCGGGGTCCACCCCTTTCATTCCTATTGCATTCCAAGCGAACACGTCTGCATTTTGCCTTAAAAAGTCAATCATCTCTTCATGTTCGGCTGTAGGCATTACGGAGCCAATCAGGAAGTATCTCTACTCTTTACCATCTACTAAGAACACCTTCTAGAGGTCCTCTATCGATCGGTCCATCGGGTCAGTCCAGGGGTCATCCACTCTTGGACGCCTGGACTGTGATTGTTATTTTTCCAGGATTTCCTCTGAGGCGCATCCCTTCTCTTGGGTGAAAACCCCCGCTCTCACAGCCGAGTAAAAACAGTTTTTTGCGGACGCTTGGTCCCCTCGGATCTCCATTATCTCCTCTGGTGTAGCAAACTTCAATTTCTGGTGGTAAGTGGAGTGCACCGCCCTCAGCGCATGCAACCAAGCTCGCGCCATGATCACATTGTAGGGGGAGTTCGTATTAATCACAACAAACTCAGTGTTGATGGTGAAGGGACCCGTGACGACAGGCAATGTAATTTTGCCAATGGGCAGGGCAAATGAGCCATTAAATCCGACGAGGGGCGTCCTAACCTTGGTGAGGTTCTTGAGGCCAAAGCCCATCCGCTTTAAGGTTTCTAAGTATATTACCTCTGAGGAACTCCCGGAATCTACCAACACCCTCTAGACGTCAAACTTGCCTATCTTCAGAGTTATGATTAGGGCGTTATTATGGGGGGTCACCACGCCTGCTAAGTCCGCGTCAGAGAACGTGATACTCGGTTCGCCAGTCCTGGCTCTCGTGCTAGGCTGGCCCCCATCGCTCTCGATAACCTTTCTCGTAAAGGCTACCCTTTTGAGATCGAACTCAAGCTCCCTGGATGTTGGATGATCCAGTGGACACACGTGGATCACGTCTATGACGTTGTCTTGTGCCACGGTGGGGACAGAAACATGTCCCTCTTTCGACTTGGGTTCGATGTACTCTTTCAAGTAACCGTTCTGGACTAGCCTTTCCAAGAAAAATTTGTACACTCTGTAATCTTCGGTGTGATGGCCGAAATCCCATTGATAAGAGCACCTGACTTTTTGATCACGGGTGGAAGGATCACTCTGCATCCTAAGTAGCCACTTGAAGAATGACTCATGCTTGATTTTATAGAGCAACTTGTAGATGGGTTCTTTGAACACAGTGTGGACACCTTTAAATGACCCTCCTAGAGGGGGTACCAGCCTTTTTTGGGAGGTGTCCTCCCTCTCCTTTTTTTTCCTAAGGGCGAGAGTTTTGCCTTTGTCACCCCCATTTCATCTTCAATCCTGGAGTATTTGTTTATCCGGGCCATCAATTCGCCCATATCTAAGGGAGTCTTTTTAGTCAGGGATCGGTACAGGTCCGTGTCCTTGCCAGGCCGAGCCTAAAGGATGCGACTGTCATGACTTTCGAACACCCCTCTACCTCATTGACCTTTTCCTAGTACTGAATGGCGTACTGGCGAAGGGTTTTCAGTTCCTTCCACTTGAGCATCAGTAATGATCCAATATCTTTGGGGCGCTTGCTCCCCATAATGAATCGGGCTAAAAATTACCTCGTCAACTCCTTCCATGACTCAATGTTGTTGGGAGGAAGAGTCTTGAACCGCTTCATAGCAGAATCTCCCAAACTCATAGAGAACACTTGGCAAAGGAGTCGTTGGTCCGAGTGATACAGGGACATCATTTGCTTGTATTGCCTGAGGTGAGGTTTGGGATCAGATTGCCCATCATAAGTTTTGAACCTTGACACGATGAACTTCTTTGGTAACTCCATCTCTCGAATATCCCTAGTAAAAGGGGATTGAATGGCCTCGTCTTTTGCGTCATCCTAGACAGCCTTGCCCATTCTTCTAGATTCCAGCCGAGCTCTAAGATCAGTTTCCACCTCAGGGGGATGTCCTCTGAGGTTTCTAAGGTCATTGACGGGATTCCCCTTCTCCGGGCGTCGTGTGAAAAGGGTTGAATCCTCCTCGGATTCGTCCCCCTTCCCCCGCCTGGACAGTCCTCGCCGAAGGTCGTCCCAAGCCAAAGGCCTTGCCTTCTTGGAATGACCATCGAGGGGGTGCTCATTGCCTCTTAGGCGCTTTGAGACCCTAGAACTCTCAGCTTTGTTGTTTAAATGATTCCTTAGGTCCTCGAATGGAGTGTCCGTGGGAACGGAATGAGTCCCTCGATCCTTCGTCAGGGGTTGCAAATTCGTTGAGCCGGCTTAGGACATTCACATTATCTTTTTTTAACTGCCGTAGTCGATTCCCAAACTTTTCTTCGATCACTTTCGCCAGTTGACGAGCCAAGGGGGCTGATCCCCTTGACCTAATGCCCATACTGGTTTGAGGAGTATGCCCCCTTGATTGAATAGAAACATTCCTATTGTCACCAGCGTGATCTCTCCCCCCACCATGATGAGGAGCTTGTAATTCGAGACTTCTTTGCTGGGGGCGTTTCCCTTTCTGTCAAGTATTCACCATAGTCACTGTTTTTTCTAGAAAAAGAAACTAGAAAACTAGTCATTTCCCACAGACGGTGCCAGATTGTGCGTGCACGTTCTTGCACAATATAAACACAAGAACAGATCTCTTTCATAGTGAACACGAGTCCGTCGATCGAGTGGTCAATCTTGCTACTTGGAATAGGTTGTGAGGGTCGAAGGTGGCCTAAGAAGTGGTGATGAATCATTTTTATGGGTTGCCTGACTGGTCCTGGGAGGCTAAGAGAGGTTCTTGGAATAGAGAAAAACAGGTTAGAAGGGCGCCAGAGTATTTTTCGGCATATCCCCTCTGACGATCAAGTCAGTTCTTTGAGAGAGGAGAAGAAGAAAACACTATCTGATCCTTGAGAAAGGATTTTTGCATCCCTTTTTAATGTGTTTGTGAGGATTATTTATACCTTACAAAACTCATCATTACTGACAGCGTAGCTAGTAGGTAATTATCAGAGGTGGGCAGTGTGCACACAAATTTCTATGAAAAATATCCTCATTCTTAACTGTTCGGGACCCCAAACAACTAATGCTTTCTCCTCGGTCTGCCAAGTGTTTAATGACCTTCTCTCGGCAGGGATGTATTAAATGTCAGGCATATGAACATTTATTACCTTTCACTTCTAGGCTCTTATGCATTAAATGTTGTCTCATCAAGGGAAGGATGCATTAAATGTCTACCCTCCCAAGTCATGTGTCAGCAAGAACATTCTAGTCTTTTCGTCTCTGTCCTGACACAATGTGCCATGTGCTCATTCCCCTTTGGTTGAGCCTTCTGCTTTCTTGTGCCTCCTGACACCATTTGAGTAGGACGATGTTGTGATGGCTAGTCTAGCCTAGCCTAGGCTAGTAATCTGTCACTCAATAGCCCCTGTAGGAGCAGAAATGCCCACGTGGATAGATACACCTCAGTGCTGACGGACTAGCATTATTAAGGACCAATATACACAAACTGACCGAGGGATACGTGTCGGTCCATGACTTATTGGGGATCCTTGATCCCTGTGAATAGTATCATCTGGGAAGGGGTTTACAGACCGATGAGAATGTGTCGGGATCACAACAGAGAGTCTCCATTGGTGTCAAGTACACGTGTCGTCATCTTGGTGTGTCTAAAAATGTCCCATCACAATAGTTAGAGGGAGTTTATCTTCTTTGTGGTGCAATCCCACTGAAAGGTTTATTTGATTGACCCTTATGTGGTCACATAGGTTTTGTTCTCCTAGTGTGACACAATTACGAGTACTTGGTTTGTACTGTTTGATTTTCAATTTTGGTTTGTTCAAGATATTTATAAGTTGTGAATACTTGCTTGGTTATACATTTGTTTTGATGCTGAAATATTTTTGTGATACGCTATATATCTCTAAAAGTATGTTTAATGCCAATTACTGTGAAATGTTACGCTATTTTCAAAACCATGTTTATGGCAGAGTTTGGTTAATCTATTGAGCATGTGGTTGCTTATCCTATGAAATTTATTCTTTTTTTAGTGGTATGGTACAGTATGTGGAAAGCAGTAGTTACGAGGCCCGAACTGAGCATGTCCTTTTTGCTTAGATTTGTTAGACACTATTAGTATTTTTACTGTAACGATGTAACATTTTATAAAACCCTCCAAGTGAGGTTGGCATGTAAAGGTTTTGCTTCCGTTTTTGTTATTGGATGTAATCCCTAAGTTTATAACTTTCAATTAATGCAATAGATCCACCGACTCAGAAGTGACCAGTTTATACTCGAAACATCAATAACGTTCTCATGACATAAGGGGCGTTACAAGTGACATGCTTGGGAAATCTGGGGCATCGTAAATAGATATCAAAGCTATTAAGTGATGTTACAAGTTAATATCAGAGCTATCAATTGATGTGCCCGTGAGAGTCGGGGTGTGAAATGAACAATGCAAGGCGTCTAGGAAGTCTCAAATCCTTGATCATGAGGAATAAAAGAACCTTAGATTTATCCCTTACTATCTACTACAATCCCCTATAAAATCATCGATGTAACACCTATACATCAGTTCCAGCCTAGTAAGATCTTGTGTTTGGATTTAGGCTCATGTGAGCCCTGACATGCATGTGCTTGCAAAAATCCAAATCTATGACCAAACACTGCCTACCAAGTGACTACTCCAACACCACTAATCTGTTTCCTTTCTTGGCCTGGAAAAATCAGTATTCGAGAAATACAATCCTTTGAGTACTCTTCTATAGAGAGTGCGAATTATTAGCCAGTCTCCTATGAAAACACAATTAATTTTAGCGTTTCACAATAGCAAAATGCACATATTTGTCTCTATATAATTCAATTTAATGATGATTAGTGATTTTTCTAATCATAATTTTCTGAGGACAACAACGAAAGTTATTGGCTTGATCTCTTCTATAGCCATTTCTTCATCCACCAATCTTCCCTAATGCTCAAACAAATTGTCTAAAATATATTCTCCAAAATGGTGGCAAATCATTGATTCTTGGATGGCCCTTACTGTCATTGCAACAGTCATTCCATAGGTCGAACCATGCTCAGAATCACTTTCTATTTCAAACAATTCGAGCCTGTTCATTTCAAAAGAACCCTGTCTTCTCACTTCGTCTTGTAATTCATCTTTGGATGGTGCATAGATATGAACTTCATAAGAATCAAGCTTTTCCCTCTCAATTTCTCCCTACACAGTAGCAGAACTGTGTGTCAAGTCATTAAAATAAAAATACACCTTAATGTTTGAACAATTGAATACTATTACCACCGGAGAAACTAAAATGAAGAAGGATTGAGACAGTAGTCCCCAGAAGAATGCATTACCTTTGTCAACATGATTCAGACCTCTCTTCCCAACAAGATCAGGACCATCCGTCCTCCACTAATTAGCTCTTTAGACCGCGATTGAAGGAACAAAGAGAAATCCTCCTGGAATTGGCTAAAGTATGCCTGGGTGACCTATCTAGGACTGGATTCAGATATGTTAATGCTGCCTTTGTTTATTGACGTCCCTTCCTTGTCATAAAGAGCTGCAGGAACCAACAGAACATGGTGATTACTAGCTTATAATCATCAATTTCAGTTTAGACAAGAACACATCCTATTTGCCAACTTGGTGCCTGACGTTTTCTCAAAGCAGCGAAAATTAATAGCGAGCTAAGGTTATTCAACTCCAATACAGAAATAACCAAGCAGTCATCATTCTTATGTAAGGCACAAGATTTTAGTGATTCAAAAAAATATCGGAACATTTTATACAATTACTTTCGTGTAGATGCACTCGTCAAGCACAGTCATTTATTATTTATTTGACTCTACCTATATTACGTTTCTAGTGCAGCTGCATAACACTACATCTATTTTGTGAAATGGGAACTGGGAAAGGGAAACTCAAATAGCTCTATAGATGCCAAATTTATAGAAATGCTGTTTGGGCCAAATTATTGGTCTTTTTTGGTACGTTGGACTAATAGTGAGTTCCAAAATTAAACAAACATATTGGCAATCTAACTAAAACAGTGAATTAAGACAATAAATTGGACCACATATATGATGATTATTTCCAAGCCGAAAGTTGGAGAATAAAAGAGGATAAAGTTACCCTTGAGAGCCAGTGCAAACTATAGGATAAGTAGATGAAGTGCAAACACTTGTCAGGAAAAAGTCTTCCATAAAAAGTACCAGGACAACCAGCAATGTACACAGATGCCCCCCCCCCCCCCCCCCCCCCCAGCTTCTTCCTTGCCTCAGCTCCTTAGAGAAATCTGGCAAAGCCTCAAAGATTGTGTTGAAGTCTTTAGTCGGAAGATCATTTAGGTACACTCGACACTCTGGTGCCGGTTTTCGCAAGGTTTTACAGCAAGTTCCTTCAATTGTGTTAACAATTTCTTGTATGATTGATAATGTATTGCGTTCCGAAGAGCAACCCAAGCCAGCCAAACCTAAGCTCTTTGGGGTTGTTGTGAGATAGAGTTCTTGAATGGTCTACAGGGTTATGTGCTTCACCATGTCAAAAGCCTTCTTCTACGAGTACAATTGTACAGAAGATTAAAAAAAAAAGTAATACATTAACACTGATAACAAGAGGACTTGCATGCGTGTGTATATACGTAAATGTATTAATGTATTTATCGTATGTGTGTGTGTGAGAGAGAGAGAGAGAGAGGGACCTGAAGGGAAGAATTTTGGGCATAGCTACTCTCACCAGCTCCCTCATTCATGTGGAAGACTTTTTGGACATCCATAGTGGTGCGAGTTGGGATCTTGAACTCGTGCAACTTGGGCGGGCTAACCCAATTTTAACCCTAGCTCAACCAAAAAAAATTAGGCTTTGGGCTACGGTTTTTAATATTGGGTTGGGCCTGGTCAAAAAGCTCCAACTCAAATTTAATTTGGGCGGGTCTTGGGTTGAAGATCAGGTTCACGGGTTAAACCTGAATTAATACTATATAAATACAATTTTATCCTAGGGTTACTATCTAGTCTGGGCCTCTCTCCTGCAGGACCCTCACTCACTCTCACTCTCAGATCTATCTCAGCCCTCTCTCAATCTCTTTCTGAAGGAGTCTTTCGTCTTCGTCAAAGTCTTAGCCCTCTCAGCCTCCTTCATCTCCGGCTCTCTCTCTCAAAGTCTCAGCCTCCTTCGTTATCTCAGATCAAATCTCAAAAATTTAGATCAAAAACTCAGATCAAATCTCATAGCAGATCTACTATCTACGACTCTCCCTTCATCGATCTCAGATCAAGTATGCAATTTTCATTTTTATTTTCACATTTTCATAGTTAATTTTTTCAGAGTTAATTTTGAGACCTCTTTTCACTCTCAGGTGTAAAATTTTCAGAGTTAATTTTTAGAGTTTATTTTCACTCTCAGATGCAATTTTCTACGCCTCTTTTCCAACCAACTATGACATTAAACTTTTTGTCCTCTTTTGATCCTTTTTTTCACAGTCAAATGATGCATTAAGAATTTATTTGGAAGTATATCAGTCTAAAATTATTTTTTTTAGATTTTGTTCAACTCTAATATTTCACTTTTAGCTGCATAAATTAATCATTTTTCTGTTCTTTGATTTTATGGCACCTTAAATCAATACATGTCACTAATGGGGGAGACGGAGACAAATACTGAATCTCTGGCTAATCTTGCATCTAAGCCTGCTTAAGCAGTGAACTCTATGTTTGTGCAAAGATTCTAATTGTGTTTATTTGTGTTCTGTATGGTTGTAGTTATATTATCTCAAACATTGAGTTCTTAATATTATGGTTTTTATGTTAAAAACTTGATTGAAATTATTTGTTGTTAATTTAGATGAATATTATGTAATATATGTATCAGTTTTAGTCCAAACCGTTTAGAACAACAAGTTTATTTTGGGCTTAACCTGAACTCAACTTGAATTAAACTTGTAAATTAACTCAAAATCAGCCCGAAATTATTAACCCGAATTCAACCTAATCCCGCCTGAATTAAACTCGGACAGTTCTCGGGTTGAGTCCCTCAACTAGAGTTAAAGAGTTAGAGTTAGGGCTGAAGATTATACACTTAGAGTTAGACTAGGGTTGACTGTCCAACCCACCCAACATGCCTCAGGTGCGCCCTTACCTAGAGGTCCCCTTGTAAAGGCATGTCTCCTCCAATGATCTGATATGTTAAGGCACATTTTGGTGGATTACATTATGTTATGGAAAAAATAATTTTTTGATGTCATATTTTTTTGACTAATGAGAAAATGACAAATGTAAAGTTTGATTATTTTATTAATTTTCTATTTATTATTTTTGTTATTAATGACTTTAAATATTTCAACACATAATAATAGTACCAAAAAGTCCAGTAAACAGATGACTGTATAGAAGAACCAATCAAAGAACATTTTCAGCTGGTTAATTCTTGTGGTGGCTGAACTTTGTCAAGTTGAGCACTATGAATATTATAATCGGGACTTGACTACTGCAATGCTAAAAAAATTTCGGAATCAAACCTTCAAAATTTATTACTTCAAAAAGTATATTTATATTTTTTGCGGGTTATTTTATAACTAAAATATTTACCACTTTTATAGTTGATTTATCACTTTTGTGGCTATTTTTACCATTATTGTGAGATTTTTTATTACATTTGTAATAACTATTATTATCATTTTTCTTTAATATAAAAAAAAATTTACAACTTTTATGAGTGATTTATCAGAATTGTGGATATTTTTATGACATTTATGAATTTTTTATTATTGTTGTGATAATTATTTTTATTATTTTTAAAAATATTTTAACAGTAATAAAAATACTCATAAATATAATAAAAGTAATCATAAATATAATAAATAGAGGTATGGTCTCAAAAAAAAAAAAATTTGGTACAGTGGTCAACCCCCGATAATCTTGGTCTGCCTCCTGTCCAATGAACCCTTTTCCAATTTTCATTATTGTGAAGTAAACAATTAAGAAGTGTTCATTTATGGAGAGTTAATTGCTGGCGGTTAAGCAACAGAAATTTTAGTAGGAGAAGCAAAACTAGGCTTGCCTAAACACAATTAATCATCATAAATTAAGTGAATTTGAGTGAGACCTTAATGTATTTAGGTAATAAATGGGTTGACTTATCAGACACGTTTAATAAACGAGTCGTGTTCGGATGAGACCTGTCAATTCGTTTATCACTCGTTTACCCGTTTAAATAAATATAATATCTATATCTATATATATATATATAATGAATAAGTAAAGAAAAAGCTTTGATAATTCGATTTTATGAAGAGAAAAGGAAGAGGAAATGTGTGTAACATTAAATCTTCATTGAAGTTTGGTACACCAATGAGCCTTTGTTTTAATGGTACTCATTGTCTTATGAAAAATTTGTCTTCTTGAGGTAGGGCTCAAGACTCCCTCCCCCTAAAAAAAAAATAACATTTGAAAAAAAAATGAAGCTTGGTAAGAACTTTAACCTAGTGATATCACTGGAACTTGTTGAAAAGACGACCATATATCTGTCAAATTTAGTCCATTCAATCCGGTACTACTCTCCAATGGACTTAGATCACAAAACAACCGGAAACCAAATTCAAATGACATTTTATTTGAAAGAGTATTGAAATATGTTTTCCCTTTATCAAATAATTGATCTTCAAGTTTGGTGAAGAACTCTGATAAGCAAAGACGGAAAGAGGGTATGAATTTATTATGGAAAGAGGAGAGGAGACAGAGAAAGAAGTCTTTGAGGGCGACATAGGATGGTTCGGAGGGGTCGAGGTAAGCACAAGGGCTGTAATTGCCAGTGAAGGATGTGGCGGGAATGAAAGTTCTGTCAAGAACGATGTTGACTTTAGGGTCCAACCATGAATGGACCTGGTGGCATGTTGGTTGATCTGAAGACTCCAAAGAAGGGTAATCCATAGCTGCCGAAGATTTCTCAGAAGGGAAGGTTTGGCGGTGGCTAATCGGAGGAAGAGTATAGGTAGTTGGTGTAGGAGGAGGAAGTGGAAGACATTGTTTAGGGTTTGGTTTGCAGATATATATTGAATAAATCAATGGTTGAGCCTCAAAGTTTGAGGCATTGAATTACCTTTTCTTTAGTCCCACATCGACATAAGAGCAGAGAGGGGAAGCTTTAGTTGCCTATAAAAAAGGTAGTGGGCCTTCTCATTTTGGCTAATCTTTTTGGTGTGGCTTTCATGTGTGCTGTTAGTTGGAACCCTTCTAATTAAGGAAAGTATAGCTGGAAGCAAATAAATTGAGTGTAAAAATTTGTTAAAATAATAATTTTTTTGTTGTTTTTTTTGTTGTTTTTAAACGGGTTAAACGAGTCATGTTTATTAAACGGGTCGTGTTCGTGTTGAAATTTTTCATCTGTTTATTAAACGTGTCATGTACAGGTATATATATTTTTCACATATCACCTGTTTAACCCAACACATTTGACACCCGTAGTCCTGCCACCCATATTAATGTGGCACAAGTCTTGTCCACCCATTGTAATGTGGGTTGAATACGACTTGTGTACTTGGAAGTCATTTTGCTTTTCCAAAATCTAAAGAAGTTCCAAGAAAAATTAGCATACTGCAAATAAAGGGGCAAAATTTTATCCAGAAATGCTACTAAAACCTATTTTAGAGAAGGGCATAATATATTGTGGTTGTTGAATTAAAAATAAATATCATTATTTAATGAAATTTATTATTAATTAAATAATTATAATATATTAAATTTTTATATTAGGTTCCAAATTAATACGAGTCATAGTTTATCCCCTTTATCAATACAAATTTATAATACAACAAAGTACTTGTGATTTTTCTTCATTTATTCTAATAAAATCGTTCATATTGAGTTTTTGAAGGTGCATTTTTCCTTTTTCATTAGATTCCTAGGCAACCCTTTATAAGAAACATCAATCAAGTGGAGCTTATTAAACTTATGTTTGGTCAAATGTGATTCAATTGTGCTTAGTCGAACCGCCCATATATGTAATGATGTAAGCATGAACTATATAGATTGTAATAGTAGAAATAAAAATGTTAGGCAAGGTAATAGGATGTGTAGTAGAAGTTAGGAGTATTTCGAAGTTAAAACACACTTTAGATAAATTCAAGTAGGAAAGAATTTGACACTTCTTTAGTATTTGGAGATTTCCAGGACTTCAAAAGAGTATTTCACAAAATTTTTTTAAATCGACCTCTAAATAGACCAAAACTTCATTGGAAGTTCATTTAAAAATGGAGTCCATTTGAATGTGAATGAATCCGTTCGAACAACAGTTAGTCCTAGCACTTTTGTGTCTGATGGAACTCTGATGGAAAAGCAAAAGTATTGGGAGCGAGTGACGTTCGAACGCCAAAATGACGTTTGAACAAGAGGTCGCAATTCTGAGTATTAGATTTGCGTCACTTGGACTGTTTTCTTATACTATAAATACCCAAGGGTGTCTTCCCTATCCCTATTTCATAAGTTCTAACCCTAGAAAGACTTGGAGAACAAGAGAGAAAAGGAGAAATACAAGATTAAGAGGAATTTTCACCTTGAAACGGATCAAACATGCTAGGCTTTCACATAAAATTACGAAGTCAAGGTAGGAGATTCTTTTTGAGTTCTTTCATTGAGACTTAGGGTCTAATTATGTATGTTTTCAATCTTGTTGATAATTATATGATAAATATGTCTGAGTTCTTGGTTTCTTTATCATTGGAACATAGTCTTGAACAAACTACATGTTTGGGTTCAAGTAATACTTGTTCTTGAATTTCCA